CGAGATCTGCAACGACCCACTGAGCGTCCCGTTCCAAGGACAAGTGGAAGAAGATCGGTCAGGTAGGAAGTACTTTTTAAGAGATTCAAGGGCTTGGGGATACTCCGGGGAGCTCGAGTATCAGTTTCACCGTACTCTTATGAGAAAATCGATGTCGACATCGAGTCGGCCCGATGCGTCCACAATGACGAGAGTAGCGCGGTGCAGTCAGGTAAAGTGGGATATAAGAAGAATCGGGATAAGGTCCCGGTCGAGAGTAGTGGTAGCCGGATCGACGTCTTTCGAGACTTCGAATCCCGTGGAAAACCTCTGCTCGATAACGCTATAAATCTGCTCGAGCACAAGCGATGCTCTGCCTTGCCGCGCTCTAAGGTTTTACCTTAAGCCACGATCGATCGAACCAAGTGACAAACGTCGTTGAATAAATTCGTTCCTGGCCGTGGATCTTCTTTTCTACCTTTGCTATACCTTCCGAACCTCCTGTGTGGACGTTTCGAGCGAAGCTACGCCGTTCGGTACCTCGTCGATTTAACCACATCGATGTGTTTACCGTAACCGGCACGGCGACGAGAACACCGGCAAATGCATCGGGAAGTATGTCCTACTTTACGGATGCATACCATATTGATTCGCGTTCGAAAATTCGTTTTGCGTACGTGCTCGCCGATTTGTAGTACCGTGGAAAAGTGTCACTTATTGAGAATGGGAGAGCATCTTTTCGGTTGATGCAGTCGCGAACACTGTTTCACTGGATGTCTAAATTATGTTAATATAGACGTTGTAGTAGTTGGAGCAGTGGCGTTCGAATTAAATTATGTTATCTGGACCTTGCAGGAGTAATTCTTCGGCATTATAGGTAGCTTCTTCTTTTTATAGATAAGGAATGAGGGTGCACTTTAAATTCGTATGTGGACGATAGAAGGTTATAAAAGAAATTGTAATTTTAGAAAATGTAGTTATATTTGGCGAGAGCAACGAATAGATATAATGTACGCTTTATAAATGGACCGTTATCAACATGGAAGAAAATATGTCTGATACATCGTAGAGTACCAATTTTAAAACTTTTCTTTCATCGCAACTCTGCATCATTTTTGTTCACATCGTGGATCGCTGGTTACCAATCAAGTGCTTTTTACTTAGCTGAGAAGTAAATGGTAGTGTTCCCAATTTCTATTGATATTGTTTCTATGCTTCTTTATTTCCCTACAGAGGAAAAGCCAAAAAAACAGGGATTTCTTGTATCTTCAAGTGGAACACTTAGCCTGCAACAGACTTAGCGATTCTTAGACCGCTACGATGTCAGTTTTGTCAAAGGAGATTCTATTATTTGTAGATATTAAGTCTGGAATAGTCGTAGCAGCGTAGGAGCAGGCCATGAAAGTCACAAGTTCTTAATGGTTCATTCGTACCAGCAAAGACGTTGGGAAAATATTACCTACGTTGTAAGAAGCTAACAAGCGCATTATGTGATTCTTTCTTCCCTTCACAATAGGACGGAGAAAGAATATCGAATCAATGTAAGAAAATGTTGATTTTCATGGAACGCTAGCGGAATTTGAAGAAAATGCTGAAAGAGCAACGCAGAAATTGTAGTATAAGGTAGTTGCCGGTAAAAAGCTGCTAGCTAAATACTATGTGTGTGTGTGTGTGCTTTTGAGAAAAGAAAATGAGTTCTTTGCGCGATCGATTCTCTCTAATCGCTTCGTGTTTAATATATCCCCGGATATGAAACGGACCTATTCGCTTCTTTCGACCATAGCTAGATTTTCTCTTTAATGGAAAGGCCACCGACCGGAAAGGCAGAGAGATTTTAATGCGAACGTACATAAGCGGCACACTAACTGCAGCACGAATGATTTCTCTGTTTATGTACTCTTAAGAGCTTTGCCATAAAAGTAGAGAGTGCTCTTAAAGGTTCGCTTGCCTGCGTACATACATGGTACAACCGATTTGTCAAGATTCTGTCTTTCACGGCTACGAGCTTATCGAATCGACCTTCGTACACTTAGATCAAAGAGGGAACTTCAATTCGCGATTTACATACAGAAATACATGGAAAATTATGTTCGACTTCGAGCGTCTTGTTTACAACGACGTTTCTGACCTCGGTTATATTCGGAACCTTTATCGCTTTTAAGTTCCTATAATTAATAGAAGATAAATTCGATCGCAGCAATTGCAAGAATAAAATACCACGGAGATAAGAATTTCGTGTTAATGCTTATTGCAAGCGAGTGAATTTCACATGTGAAAGATCCATAATCTACTGCTCGATATTAGAATGAAAGAAGAATACATTGTTGTCCAAGATCTGAAACGGACGTAACTGAATAAAACACGAGAATACCTGAATTGTATAAAAGAGAACAGACGAACAGAAAATTCGTGGTCATTAGGATGAATTACTACCGAGTGATACTGATTACAGGAACTAGCGTTAAATCGATAAATAGTTTTCGTTGTTAAACTACAGTTTTGTACTGGATAGTATACATGAGAATTACTTATTGTATTTATTTATATTAATCTTATATTTATGTGTACATTTGAAGCTATTCTTAGCATGCTAAACTGCCTTACAGCGCTATAATTTATTCTATCCTTCGAAAACTCCTACAGCATAGAATCTGCCTAGGTATACAAGGGATTTCCTAGCAATCCATATCAATTACGTTTGCTTCAACAAGCGGGCAACTCACGAGCAAACATCGCAAGCAAAGATTTTATTTGCAAACACGTATATCCAAGAATTATTAGTCTTTAGCTGTTTCGTTTGTTGCTAGACGTTGCATACTGGTAAATGCAAAAAGAAAAAAGAAAAGAATACAAACCAAGGAATTCGTTGAGTCACGACGAAATAAAATTTATTTGGCTTTCCGGTGGCTACGTACATTCTATACGTGGCTCTAGAAGAATGTAAGTCGGCTCGTAACGTTAATGTAACGTTAGATGATGCTAGCGAGGCTGAACCACTTCTTTAAAAATTCCGTAAAACTCTTGAAATATTAAGACCTCGCTAATAGACGGTCTATTTCAAAATGGGGTCGCCGCCATTAAAGTCGAACTTCAAGAATTTTGCCCCCGCGTATCTAAGTCTTCCCGTCGACTAAGGCCGCTACTATTTCAAAGTAGACGTTTACGCGACAGCTGTCGGAGACAGGGCTTGCTCATACCCTACAGAAGGGACGAGTTCGCTACGCTTTTTCTAGGTCTGGCTAAATTTTTGAACAGTCGTGTGTTTCAATAGACAGCGAAAGTTTCTCACTCGGAGAAAGCTTTTCTTCCATCTTTCGTTCTTTCTTCTGTTATTTCTCTCTGGCTCCTTCTGTTGCATTTTTCGCTCCCTACCTCCTCTTATAATCTGCTCTAGTTTGTCCTCTCTAGCGATGGGATCAAGTTCAGCGTGTTCACTTACAAATTCGAATCAAATCTATACGTTCGCGTCATAGGATTTAAATAATACTTATAACATACAATGGTTCGTTCACCGAACTTGCGAAATATTCGACTTTCATAAGCTGGTTTCGAATCTGTGAACGAGTACCCGCAAGTTTCGAAAATCCACTTACTTCGATATTAGAAAGGATCGATAGTTTTACAAGTAGTAATCGAGTTACGAGAATCAGAAAACCGCTAGACGTTCTATACATTCTGTTTTACTGTTTGTTTTTACAACTATTTAGAAACAATATTTGATTTACAATGCTTTGTAGAAAATTACAATAGCGAATGATAATCAACAAAAATGATTTTAAAAGAAAATGGAGAATTTCTAGTAAGATGCTGATTAAGTTTCGAATCTGTTCGTCCAATGTTCGATTCTACTTACTAGTACTTTTATCATCATTCAGAGTACTCACGTAGAGATCCAATCTACTTGAAAGTATTCTTTAATTCTGAATTCGAATCTACGGTGGTTACAAAAAGTATTTCTACACCATTGTATTTATTACAGTATTTACATACTAATTAATTAAATTCAGGTATATTAAGTTTTATAAGTACTACTAAGTATTAAGTACTACTCTGGTATAATATGATTGATTATAGAAATTTAATGCTACAAAGATGAAATGTGCTACCTGATTAAAAAAAGTTTCCTTGAAAAATAACGTTACGTACAAATACTTTTTGTAACTACTGTCATATAGTTTGCTAATAGTCGAATCCACCTGACACGTATTTAGGTCCAACATTAGCTTTCTGTTTTTTTTTCCTCCTATTTTGATAATTGTTTCTTTTCGATGATACGTACAAGTGAATTCGTATTCATCGCATCCGGTTTTCGTCCCGGGACCATGCAATTCCGTGATAATGTAATTTCGTCGTTGGCAGCCGACAACGGCGGTGGTGTAATTCGAAAGAATGTCCTTCCCGTTCGCTGCCAAACGTCTTCGTACCTCCGTTCGGATAATGTTCGCAAATTGCTCGTGCCGCAATTTCTTCCACCTGGCGGCGGTCTTTCTTCAGCCCCTCGAACTGTCGGCACTTTCCAGAAACGTACAAATACTTGTTACAATGGAACTTGGGAGAATTGAACTTCTCGCCGGGTGCTATCACTTTTCGTTAAATACAATGAAATACGCGTGGAATGAAATTTCCCCTCGCTTAATTTATTCGATCCTTCCGTGTTTTTGACAACAAAAGAACCTCGTCATATCTCATTCACCTTGTGATTAATTTATGTTACGATAATTTTGTTCGCGATTCTGATTGAATTTGTCCCGGTTCTATTACAGGTGTTCTTTTATAAGTTAGAAATTGAAAACTTTTCGTCTGTTTTTGGATAAGGCAATGAACAAACTTATGTTGGTATTCGTATTTTTGGCTAAAATAGGCCAAATAAAATATGGAATGTTGAAAATACAAGTAGTCTCTGTGCATCAAATTTTACGTAATTGTAATGTCTATTACTCGAAATAGGAATTTCGAACTTGTTCTGTGTTTATAATGCTTCAAGGCAGAAGAGATGTACTTTTTAATCATTGATCTATAGATAACGGAGAAATATATTCATTTCAATTAAAATGTATACACGTATTGAAATATGGAGACAAACATGCAGACACATTGAAATGGTTCACACGTGTAATTTGAAATTACACACGTTAATACGTGTTCAGATTGAAAACATTATATCAACAAAGCATGGCTACGGAATAATACGCAGCTACATTAATATGTACCGGGTTAATACACGGTAAGTCAACTGAAATTAGCAAACGTTGTTATACATTAATATATGTTTTGACTATATGTAACGTAAATGCGTGTGAATAGTCAGCACGAACATTTGACATGAACACATATAGAAATATAAATTAGAAATCTTTAATTCAGACATAGTGAAATATTTCGTGTATGAAACCAAACATTGAAAAATACCTAAATATTGTTATATTATATCAACGTTATTATTATCAATGCATATTGTCTTCGTTTGAGATCACGCTGTACCGTCGAAACAATAAGTGAATCCCAAAAATGAAATTTAGCTACTTTTATGATTGAATAGAACACTTCAGTTAACCCCTAGGATCAACGTGTAACGTGAAAATTTTTTTTGTCTATTTGTAAAAAAATAGCTGAGATCGTTTCACGATGTTCGATTTATAGAATAACTCGGAAGGATGAAAATGAGAAAGAAGAGAAGGAAAAGAAAAAGATAAAAGAACGGAAAGCAGTTAAGGGAAAAAGGTAAAAAAACAAAAGAAAAGGCGAAGAAGATACAGAAGGAAACGAGAAAAGGACAAATATGGCCAACGAGAAACAAAGGGAATGAAACTCTCTGATTCCGGTGTTTCAGCAGAAATGAACTGGTATCCAGTTTTAAATCTGTTTTGCATGCAACCATCGTACGGTTGAAAACGACGTGCAGAATTGCCTTTTCTCTTAGAATTGTCCTTGGTATATTATTGCGATTCTTCTTAGAATAACGTTCAGACGTTTTGAAAAATCGCCATCGTTGTCATGATCGAAAAAATCAGATATGTTCGCTTGGCTCGCTTACCTCGGTAATTCCATCTCGTTGATACGTTTCAGTAAATTGTATATAAAACCAATACGACCGTTGAAACGTGAGAAATTATTCGTTCCAGCGATTCTAATATATTTTTCCGTTTACGTATTTCCCTCGATGTGGCTATCGCGTCCGACAAGGTTCCCCGGTATCGGATTCGACAGGCAGAACCCCGTAGAAATTGGACACGCGTAAAAACGGCCGACGTGTAAGCCTGCAAGCAAACATGTTGTTCCAAGGCGAGCACGGAACAGCGTATAAAACAAGAGAAACGAAGAAAAAAGACACATCCGCTTCCATGGAAGCCGACACGGCGTATGTGATTAAAATCCGTTGAAAGCTCTGTTTGTACGTCAAAGGTAAACTCAATCCTATTTCCCTTCTGTGAAAACTGCCAGCACCGTTAACAATTACGTGCACGGCCGCCAAGTAATTCCGTGGAAAGTCGCTGGGGTTAGAATTCTCCGCAAAATGTCTCGTTTCCTATACGCTCTGCCCAGAACCGCCTTCCCTCTTCGTGTCGGTAGTCGTGTTAAAGATCGTGTGTGCACTGACCGGGACTAAAATCGTAGATACGAAGTGTAGAACCTCTGTTCTACAAATATTTTTCTAAATAGGAAGGGGACGTCGTCGGTTTTGTATTTACTTGTCCACTTACTTATTTATGGCTAGATAACCTTTTAGCATATAGAAGGATGCATATAAATAGTTAAAATTAGATTCTATTTGAGGGAGACATATGGATGGAAAAAATGCAAATTAGAAAATTTATCTACCTTGACGTTGATACGAGATAATTCTTGATAGAAAAGAGGATGATGCGACGAAGCAATCCTAGTTATATTTCATTTGAAGAAATGGAAAATTTCGAGACAGACTACATTATCGTTCGACACTTTATCTAAGCAAATAATAAATTAAGTAATCCGAAGTTTAACACTTTGACTGCCACGCCGATATCACATGTTTTGCTCAGGACGCCACGGAAGTATTTTTATTATTCAAAGTTATAATGGCAAAATAATAATAAATTGATGATGTAAGATAACATTTTTCCCCAATGGACCATTTATCTTATTGGTGGTCACGGGTGACCACCGTGACGCCTTGATAACAGTTGATAATGACATATTATAACAAGACTTTGTTTATTTCAACAAACTATTCGCATTCGTCATTTCGTTGTAAGCAAAACGTCCAGAATATATTACTGAATGATATTGATAAACAGTATTTGCTCATTCTATATATAATAGTAAGGTATGTGCACACTTCTAACTTCAATTACATATACGATAATAAAGCGGCATTTACGATTATTTTCTAAGCTGTGTTTATAATAATATTCGTAGATTACCCCTCAAAGATATGGCTGCAAACACAGTGCACCATTAGAAGCAAGATTTGTTCTCATTTTTTTTTATTGATGTTCTAATAAAAATGTTTAATTGTTCAATGGAACGCTTTTTGTTTTAAAGTATCTTCTATTTATCGGTTATATTCAAAATGCCTTAACTGTCAATTTTCATACAATTTTTACAATTGTAAGAAGTTCAAGCGCCCCGGTCACCAATGACCATCGTGGCAGTCAAAGTGTTAAACAAACAGACCGTTATACTTTTATACATGTAGGAACATTTTTACTTTACGCGATTCGTGTTTATATTTATCAGACATGCTTCTCGGATATACGCGTGCAGTTAGTAAGTGAGACGAGTTACGACTTGGAATACAGTTCTCTGTATAGGCGAAATACCAACCAATCGGCATAGATTAATTTCGAAGTATTAACAAAGATTGTAATAAACTGTTTCGCGAAGCAACGTGCAGAATTAAAAATAATGTAAATTAGCTTAGTAGAGATTTAGCCTGTTTCAGTGATTTTGATTTTTATTTACGAAACCCTGTTAAAGTAATCGCCTGTCTGGAAGGTATTAGGAATTTTCGTAAACGTTCTCGCGTTCGTATTTTATCCGCACCGTTTTACGAGGCACTGGATTAAACAGGGACAGATGGTCACGGTTTATTCGTTTCATTAACTTAGAAATAGCTGTACGCGTTGCTCTTATTTCCACAACCTCCGTCCGTCGAATTACGGATGCACGAGCTTTGGTTAATGACTCTGACTTTTGTTGCTTTGAACGGCTCGATCATTTTTTGATTTACGATCCGAAAATGTCCATCTTTTCCGTGTACATGGTCACATCGATGCGATCCAGAGAATGGAAGTCGGAGGAAATAAAATCGGCTGATCTTGAAAACTAATTTACTATTCTGTCACGGCTATCTTAACGCCGATAACTTCCACTGAGTTTACGATATTTCTTACCTCTACTACTTCCTTACCTTACCAGCTGCCGCTAAATTGTTTATCAAATGCGAGGAAAAATGGTACGGGTGACAAAATACTTAATTTAAGAAATTGTGGTAAAATTGAAGTCTAATAAAAAAAGAAAAAAATCTATACATTTCTGAATATTATAATAAGTTACCATACTTAGTTCAAATGTTCTACTTACCATTCCAAAACAGAAGAAAGCTGATGTTGGGTCAAATTCTTTACGCCATTTTCGCCTTTCTTCGTACAGTATGAAATACGTAGCTATTACTTTGTAACAGCATAGCAACGTAATTTTACCCTCAAGGAAGGGTCACATCCGGGTCCGATTTGGATGAAACTTTATAGGCTTGAAGAAGAAGCAAAAGTAGCAGATACGTATATTTTTATCTACGGTAACTCATGTTTAAGGGATGAAATCACCTTCCAAAGTTCGACCCCATAAAAGCTAGCTTAGAAACGGCTACAGATACAAAGAAATGTTTTGTTAACAAAAACGAAGCATTTTCTAACATATTAAGAAGAAAATGCTCAACAAACAATTTTCAAAGACGTATAAAATATTACGTCGAGCATATTCACATGAAAAAAAGCAGTGACTGTGCGTATAAAAAATCCCCTACACGAATACGACCATTATGTATTATTTCCTATATTTATCTGCTGTGTGGAAAAAATCCACTTGTGCCGCTGAATACCATAAATAAGATTTACCAAAATGCCAGAATACAACCTTTGAAATCAAACAACCCTTCATTGCACGAAAAACCTCCTAAATCTGGTACCATAAAGTAACTTAACTCCCATACAAAAGATCTTCCTACATCACCATTTTCTCCCCGTTTCTCGCAGACGTTATCCCCGTACGTTTTATCCTCCACCGAAGCGGAACATCTTCCACCTTCTCCGAACGTATTCGAATTCAACGCGTCGCAATAATTCGGTAAATAAATTTCCATGATTTATTTATCGCGATATACGAGCGGTCGCCGAGGGCTGGAGAAAAGCAGAGGAGAAACGTCGAGTCCGGGTAAACCGGCTACGTCAGGGCAAAACGCAACGCAATACGAAGAAAGGGAAAAGGAGGAGAAAGTAGCTCGGTTGCAAAACGTTTCTGCTACTTACTTTCCTCCGTGTCCTTTTCTTTTTTACCCGCTTTCTTATTTCTTCTCGTCTTCTCTTTTCCGCTCGGAGCATCGTCTTCCAGCGTCACGTTGCTCCTCGTGTGTTCGTGCGGTCTGTCCGGCTTGTTTACGACGCGGGCATCGAAGCGGAGTTCGCCCGGAGGTGGTGGAAACCCGATATAACTCCGACCCTTGCCATCCCTCTCGACACGTTTCCCGAACAGGGTGGGTCATACCAACACACGCCACTCGCTCGCCACCGAGCAGCGCACTCAAGCTTCTGTGGTTCATGAAAGCCAACCTTCTTTTTGTTTCTCCTTGTTTTTTCCCTTCTTTCGCCGTCTTCCCTAGCTTCTTATTATTCTTGTCATCGGTCAGTCGGAGAGTCCGTACGTCTGTGTTCTAGTCAAATCTTGCGTTCGAAATTTTTTGGAACTTTTTGCAACATCTCTTTAGGTGGTTAGTAAAGATTTATAGTTTAAACAAAATCGAGGAATTTTGTGGAAAGAAATCTGGTCGAAGTTTGTTATATTTATATCTTCAGGAATACAAATATATTTTCATTGAACGAGATAGCTACGCTGGACTTGCTTTAAGGCGACTTCACGAAGTGATCATTTGCAGACGCTATGAAAAGAATTTTGCGTGACGCTATTTGTTGCGGTATGAATTGTATATGACATGGTATATTAACAGTTTGAGTCGCAAGCAGCGCGATCGCGCTGTTTAGATTTTATGTGGAAAACATTTGAACGCTACGGACGACTGGCAGTATTTTGTATTTCATTGTTATCTTCTCAATAATTTTTATTGAACAAAACTTGAAATATTTATAAACTAGTAGTACGCATATATAATAATGTAGACGTATTTCATAAAAATAACAAATATGACGAGCGCTATTGCGTCGCTTGTTTCTCTTCGTAATGGATTAAGACAAACACTATCGCGTTGTTCGGGATTTTTCGACTCTGTTTTTTCAAAGACCCCTGGCACTCAAACGCTTAAATACTTTATCAGCATCTGTTGGTAACATTTCCATATGACTGCAAAAATTGACACCATGAACACGAAATATAGAATCTGATAAGACATCCTTTCATCGGATAGTAAAGACGTGTGCAAATATCTTTTGTAGCCATTGTAATTGGTATTAATTACGATTTGAATTAGAACAAAGTACAACTTTTGCATTCAACATTTTTATGTCTTACATTTACTAAAACACTACGTATTGATATTTAGAGATAATTTTTATAGAAATAGCGAATGTCTGAAAAAAATGTTTATACAACGATGTGGAGGAAAGAGAAAAGATGGATTATTTATTAATCCACGATGGTTCTCTATTGCGTTAAGACTAGCTGTCAGCTATTAAATTGATTAACCAACGCCCACGGTAGTATTTTTATGCCGTGTGATTTTGTTGTTATTTCATAGCTGATGTTAACTTTTCCAGTACGATACGAGTAGAGTATGGCGGTGTAGTATCAGGAAGTTGCTGTTTTACGGCAGTTTGGTTCGTTATATGTTTCGAAAGTTTGTTATAGTGATTTATCGGTGTGATTAAGAGCATTTATGAGCGTGGTACATACATATTTTAAGAATTATCTGGGAATTTGTGAATTAGTTAATTATCTAGCATTTTGTAGGAACTACGCAGTAAACGATTTTTGTTTATATATTTCGATTTGTAATTTATACTATACAATAGTAAGTATAAAATGTATAGTATAAAATAGTAAGTATACTTGTATATTGAAAGATATTTAATATTGAATTTAACGTTGCTCGTATTTCGACTTACTTTCAGGTTAGTTTAGGAAACAAAGATCGGTTTGGTTCATCATCAGAAACCTTTAAGGCCAACATAGTCTCGTTTCAGAATTGATAAGCCCTAGTCTTGAACCAACAAACCTCGTTATTGATAAAATCTACCTCGCTCCTACGAAGTTTAACCTATTTTATGTTTCGAAACTTGTGCTGCCGGGAGTTTATTCGAGGATATTATAGAGTACATCAAATAATTCGAGAGACAATACCAAGTAATTGGGGAAATAATTTTCCTCGATGTTTCTCGACAATTTTCGTCGAGTAGCGAGCGCCGTGCAGTTTTCAGTTTTTCAGCGTCATTAAATTTCCAGTTACGTCTCCACCACAGGAAACCCCTAAATCTCTGTATTTACGTAATCTGCCTAAAAAATATGTTCTAACGAGCTGTGTTTTTCGGCCCCTGTTACGATATCCGTAAAACTTCCCGATTTTCCTCGTATTTGAGCGTACAAATGTATGTACCAGCAGCGGAACTTTGCAGCGCGAGAACATCTGTTGCACCGACCGTTTTTAGTAAATCTTTACGCGAATACAATAAGAATTCGCGTCCGCATTCAATTTTCGAAAGTTACATTTTGGTTTCCGAGGCAATAAAGGCGAGCAACAGTACGCCGTTATGGAAAAACTTCCTTTCTGGTAATCTAGAATAGCCAATTTCGCGGCGAAACAGAGTTAACCGCCATTCTTTTATTCCCCTATAAACCCGAACACCACTACGTCATGCAATTTAATAAAATTTAATCATTTTTTTCGCTTGTGGTGAAGTAACCAACATAGAAAACAAAAAAAAAAGAGAAAGAAAATGCAACAACAAGGGCAAACAAAAGAATGGAGAAAAAAATAACGCTCGATCCGATTATCAGTTGTATTTTTTATTATATTTGTTATATATATATATATATATATATATATATATATATATATATTCCAATATCGCCGATTCTGACACGATATCGATAATATCACGTTGAATATTATACATTCAGCGTTCTCTTCCAATTACTCCAGTTTCGCTAATTATCAGACTGCAGCGCACTTCCTA